GCAGTATCTGTGGCGACTTCATTTCTACTCTCAGACGACCCTAAAAGAAGTCATAGACCAGATACTTCCAATTTCAAACTTGGGTTGGAATCAAACAAGTTTTTGAAAGAATCTGATCTGAACAGAGGTATCTAAATAGTCAAGGGTAAAGCTGAAAGCCGGTTATGGGCGAAAAAAATTACATGGAACCGATCAAAAATGAGAGAAGAAAGGTGCTTTCTGAAAAATGAATCGAAGTACGGCTCGAAAAGCATAAAAAGGTTAGGTCGGAAAGTTATATAACGATTCGGAAAAGGATGGAGCGCTAGACTTCATATTCTCGGTCTCTTAGGATGCGAGAAACGAAAACCGATTACCATGAACATCTACATAAAATACAGACATTTGGTTCGGCGAATCATAAAAACTTTTGGTTCTGGTAAGCATGAGGTGGTTCGTCTAATCATTGGTTCGCCTAAGCATTGGTTCGGATTTTGGTTCGGAAAAATCATGGTTCGGAAAAATAATCGGCCCCAATATACACAAAAATCCTTATGACCACAAAATAAAAACTAAATTTTTCTCATAAAGCAATGCTGCGTTACACGAAAAGTCACAATTTGAAAAAAATGGAAAACTTACCAAGGATTCCAATTTTTCTGACCAAGCCATCGTGCTTTCTGAACGACATCGTCTTGCATCAGCTTGAAACACATGGCTGAAAATAAAAGATTTATTTATTTGAAATTCCGATTCAATTCACTTTTTTGTAATAATATGAGTACTCTAGTGAAAAAGTTAGAAATTTATTTTCTAGAAAAATTTGGTCAAACCAATGAAAAATAGTAATATAGTCCATTTTCCTCAACTTGACAATTTTCACGCGTCTGCGTCTCTCTGCTCTCTCGCCCGCAAGGTCAGAGAAACAAAAAATTAGCACAAAGAAGCGCTGAGAGACGAGGAGGGCGCAGAGAAAAAAAAACAGTTCCAAATCGTGGAAAACGGATTTTAGTTCCCGTGACGATTATCTTTACGGGTTTTTTCTGGTTTCCCATTCCAAAAGGTCATTTTTGCTGTTCTAAATGGACTAAAAGTTTTCGGGAAACTAGAATTTTTTTCTGAATGGCTTCAAAGAGATTTTAGCCTATAAATCTATTATAGGAATGCGGGCTTTAACCTTTTGGGAATAATGCCAAACGTCGCCAAAGTTAATTAAGAACTTTCAGAGAAACAGAAAAAATGGACAGTTATCGGGAAAGACTGAAAAAGTAAAAAAATGAGTCAAATTTTTTTCATTTTTATTAATTCTTTTCAGACTCTTTATAATCCCAGTATTACAAATTCATCGTCTAAAAATATTATTTTAGAAGATTTTTTATTCCTTTGATCTTGTTCACGATTCTCATAAAGAACAACGACCCAAAAAAATATTTTTTTAGAATCCTAAAATTTGATTTTTCCTTAACTAGGGACCATTGAAATCGATCAAAAAAATTCTATTCCAAAAACAACAAAAAAACTTCCTTAAATGGCCTTTAGGTTTCCCGAAAAAGAAGGTTTTTTTGTTCATTTAGAAGTCTAAACTTGATAGTTTTTTTTGATTTTTTTTCAAAATTAGATATTCTCAACTTGAAGCTTTCAAAGCGTAAAGAATCTGAAACCTTGTAGAAAATCTAGTTTTTCAAGGTGAACAATGAGAGATTTCTAATCTAATTTCAAGTTTTTCCTCGTTGTAAAACTATATGAAATGTGTAAAAGTTACTTTTCAAAATGAGATTTGGATCTGAAATGCTCATTTTTTCGAAATTTTGAATCTAAAGCTTTACAACATCTTCCAGGCTGAAACATGACAACTATAACAAAAATTACGTCATAAAAAGGTTATTTATTAAATCTCAAAGCGAAATACCGACCGATGAGAGCCATGCCGAAGAGGAGGTACAAGGCGCAGACGACCAATTTCTCCTGGCTTCCCTCGTCGAGCGACTGTCCTGGGACGAGGTCTCCGAAGCCGATGGTGCTCAGAGTGATGAAGCAGTAGTAGGCGCCGTCGAACCATCTCCAGCCTTCCCACCAGGAAAATAGCGTCGCGCCACCTATAAAATCCTTTTTGGAAAATTTTTCACAGGTGTTACTGGATTTCGAACTTGATTATTATGAATTATGGGGATTTTTTCTCCGTTGCAATTAGATAAAATTTTTTGCTTTTTTTCTTTTTTTAAGTTTCTTTATGGAACGGCTGAATGTGAAGAGGTTCATTAGATGCATTTTTTCATGCTGATTCCAAATCTAGTCTTTAAAAATACTCTCGAGGCCGTAAAAAAAAAGAAGGGACTTTAAAAAGTGCAAAATACCTATGAAAAAGTCCAAAAATCCATGTCGCAAATCGAGCTCATTATTCTATAGTGCACAGTTCTTCCCTGGGCGAAAATAAAAAAATTTTTAAATTAACTTTTTTTAAAGGCGAATATATGTAGAAATAATGTAGCATCACCAGAAAAAAATTCCTCTTCTTTTTCCATTCCCTTAAAAATCATCTTTTCCTCGTAAAAACTTGAATATCGCACTAAAAACCGGACGTGAAATATGTACTAGGGTTTTTTCGAAAATCATTTTTCTCAGGTTTTTCGGATCCAGCCACTATTTAGTAAGCTCTTTCTACTTTTTCAAACTTCCAAAGTCCAGTTTCCTCTTTCAAATGTTAGCGAATATTAATTTCAGTCTTAAATCTTGACTTCTGACCCAAAGGGTAGCTTTTTGTTATATACTCGATTTTTTTCATTGAAAAAAAATTATGTTTGTGGAAAAGTTACATCTAAAATAACATCTCCCAGGTGACCAAAGATTTTTTCTGATCTTGTAGATTTCCAGAAATTTAGAAAATGAAACAAGATGGTCACTTTTTCGCACTTGAAAGAATGAGACGTCTTCAAAAGATCCTCCGATTTCAAGTGGCTCTTCTTCTTTTCTCATTTCACAGTTTCTCAAACGTTTCTTCTACGAAAATTCATAATCTACAAGCGTTTCTGAATCCAAAGATTTTCATAAAAGCCAAAGAAGAAACTTCAACAAAAATATGATTATCAATAAATGAAAACAGGTTAAATGGATTATATGTTCTAAAAGTAATATAGAGAAGGGAAGAAATATTGACAATATTAAAGAGAAATCATGAGTTTGAATAAATAAATCCTGTTTGACAGAAAAAATCAAATACTGACTTGAAGCCTTTTTTTTTTAAATATGCAAAGAAATCCAAAAATTGGTACGATTTTGAATTTTCAAGTTAAATTTTGAAACTTCATTTTGAACTTTAATATTTCTTCGCCATAATATTGAACACAAAAAAGCCCCAAGGAACAAAAAATCGAAACAAACCCGAAATAAAGGCGAAAACGATGCAAATACCAACGCTAACAGGCATCTTCTCGCTAGATCGGTAGTTCTGAAGTTTGAAAAAAATGAATTTATATATTTTTCTTTTCAACTAAAAAAAGATGAGAACTCCAAGACAGAACGTCAATTTTCCAAAAAAAAAAAAACAGAAACAGAGAAAAAATGTAATTCAAAATCTGACAGAACAAACCTTCTCAGAAAATTTGAAATCACTTTTTTTGAACTGTATATATTTTGAGCCTCGAATCTTCAAAAGTTAGAGAGCGTTCAAAATTGAGAGAGCGGCCGTTTTTTTTTCTCTAAAAGCTCTCTTGTTTACCAGTGCTCTCTAGTTTTTGATGATTAAAACTAGATTAATCTGGAGCGATTCTGAACTTTCTGACCCAAGCAAAACATAGGAGCGCCCGAGTGATCACTGGAGGGGTTAGGGGAAACCTCAAATATTGGGCCAAAAAGTGACCCCTCTAGAGTTTTTAGGGTCTGACCCTTAAGCCCCTGAAGCTTAAGAGGTCCCTATAGTAATATTTTGATTTTTTTTCTGATTTGATGTAGAGACCACTATAATGCCCCCTAGAGTGGCAACTCATGCAAGCTTCAGTGTCCCTATGAGGGGAGATAAGGATGCCCTCTTGAGGGGGACCTAAAAACCCTAAGGTTGCCCCTCTAGAGACCGCTTCGACTTTCCTCAGAAAATATATAGTTTTTACAAAGAAAATAAAAAGTCCAAACCTGTCTTCTCAAGGAGTGAAGGGACATCTCATCGGACCTTTCGGACCTGTCCGATCGATAGGATCTCCCATCAAACTCTCGCATCCTACTGTAAGATTACAGTATTCATTTTATGAGAAAAAAAACTTTCAGCAAATCGACTCGATAACATTAACTTTTCGAGGGAAACTAATAAGGGAAACTTCTAAAAATCGTTTAATCGGTGAGTCATATGCTGTCTAATTCAAAAAAAAAAATTTTTGTTCGAGGCAAACCTTCGATAGAATAGAGTAAAATCGCTAGTGGAAAATGAACAAATTTTGGATTTTAGTCCGTTTGCCGCGGCTTGACAGTTTTCGAATGTCTGCGTCTCTCTGTTCCCTCACCGGCGAGGTCATAGAAACACGGAAATAGCACGCCAACATGAGAGAGACACCGAGAGACGAGGAGGGCGCAGAGAAGTCCATTTTAAGTCGCGATAAACGGACTATAGTTCGTTTATGTCCTCTTTTTCAATTTTGGCAAGTCTCTAGATCCGGACTTTGCAGTTCATCACATCGATTAATATTTTGCAATAATGGTGAGATCTATAAAATCAGTATAACTAGTTCCGATTGGAAATTATTGCTATTTTGGGACTTGAAGTTGATCAGCGAGAAAAAAACATGGAACTTATCAGTGGAGCGTATTTCCAAAGTTTTATAAGTTTCAGTAAATCGAGAAATAAATTCAGTGTGAGAAATACTAGTTAGGAAAGAAACCAGAAATATATCGAAGAAAAAAGTCAAATTGTCCGTTTCTAGTTAGATTTTATTCCGAAACGGAAAAAAGAACCTTCTAGATCCGCTACTGTCCATACTGGGCTGCTTGTGCGCAGAGCTGTGGACACTCATCGTCATTCCGATTTCTTTCATGTCCCTAAAAGATTCGTATTTTTCAATTATCACTTAAGAACTCTTATCGGAAAATTGGGAAAAAAGGAAAATTGGAACAAGAAAAAAAAAATTAAATAAGTAAATTTACGATTAACTTTTTCTTGGGTGGCGATTATTATCAAAGAAAGGTTCAGAAAGAAAGTTTCAAATATTTAAAACAACTTGATTAGAGAGAGATTCAATTCTTCAAAGGTTGGAGATACACAGAAAACTTTGCAAAAAAAGCCATTTATATTATTTTTTTACATTGAAGCAAATGGTTCGATCACGTAACCATGATAACTTTGAGAGAGAAAAATAGTTTGGAAGAACAATCAAAAAAGAAAAATGAAAAAAAACCTCATTTCTCTTGCGAGGGAATGTTGATGAGTGGCTGGTCGGTGGAATTCTTCGTCGTCTGTAAGGGACATCTGAAAAAATACTTTTATTTGCACAAATATCGATTTTCTCGAATAAAGAGTCTACTAAGAAAAAAACATTGTCTAATTTTTTCCTTGGGAACTTCATCTCTTGAGAAAAATTTTGAGTTTTTTTGAAAATTTCAGTTTTGACTTAAAAGCGTGAGATGTTCAAGATATTTTAAGAAATACAATAAAAAAATCCATTTTTCAAAAAATAAAAAAAAGTTGAGTTTGCAAGTGGAAAATCTAAAGGAGATTGTAAAAAATTCTCGAAAAACTATGATCCTAATTTTTTTGAATCCTTAATAGGAGCTTCAGAGTGTCCCTATGGGGGAAACTTAGAGGCCGTTTAAGGTTTCCCTCAAGGAATCACCTCACCTTTACCCTGGGGTCGCTAAAACTTGCAATAGTGGCGCCTATAGGGGACATTCTAGTCGACAGTTGCTGTAAACTCTATGAGAAGAACCATGCGGAAAAATTCAATAAATGAACGTTTTTATTTAAAGAATGAAAGATCAACAGATAGAAAAAAACCGATCGAATACGTCTTTTTAATTTTCAAAAATGAACAAAAAGTTAAAGATCCTTATAGGGACTACTATAGCGGCGTAAGGGTCAAACCTCTATCGTCCACCTATTTTTACCTTTATAGGAGCCCTTTTTCGTACCTTTTTTCCCTAACCCCTATAGGGACCACTCTGCCGTCAAACTCACACTAGTTTCCTCCGTCTTCTCGATGTCACTTTTGGGTTCTTCATCTCTGTCGCGACTTCTCGAAATGACGACATTCGGGACGTTTGGCTGACCTTCTTCTTTTCTTTTTCTGCAGGTAAATATTCAATTTAAGGCTAATTTCATGTTATTTACTTTCTCTCATACTGCGATCCAACCATGATATCGTGAAAAGCGGCGGCAGACCCGCCATAAGCCTTCAGATCGACGACGCCTTCATCCTGGTGTTGTGCGCGGACCAGAAGACCTCCTGAAGACGTCGGAAGTTTCGCAAAAAGATAATTTGAAAAACTTTTTTTTCAGGAATGCCAGAGTGGTCCCTGGAGGGGCAGTCTATGGGTTCTTGCAAGTTCCCCTCAAGAGAGCACTCAACCTCCCCCTATAGGGGGCACTAAAGCTTGCGAAAGTGGCCAGTATAGGGAATCCGGATCGTGGTTCTTACCTATACGTTTTTTAACTTAAAAATGAGAAAAAAAAAGTTAAAAGACCACTGTAGGGGCCACTTGAGCTTTAGGGGCGTAGGGATAATCTCCCATAGGCACCACCTATATTATAGCCCGCTAGGGGACACAATTATGAATCCCTACAGGGAGTGTTTCCCTCTAGGGATCACTCTGGCGTTCCAAAAATTTTTTTAATAGTCAACGAAAAATTTTCAACCAAGTGGAAATTTACTGTTTCAGAGCAAATTCATAACCAAAACTTGATTTGTGAGGAATTTTGTGTGTCCGTCCAACAAAATTTCCATCGATTTTAACAAAAAATTGAAAAAAACTTTGCCACTCTAATTACCTCAAAAATAAATTTCAGCAAAAAACAATCTCTGCAAAATCTAAAAATAGAAAAAACTTGCAAATTGAAGATTAACTTTTATGCAGAAAACTGTAACGTAAAAATGAAAAATATTGAAATAATCACTATAAATTCCTCTTTACAAAACATCTCACTGATAAATCTTTTTTTTTAAGATGTTTACAGCCCGTTTTTGGATAAGGGAGTTGGATGGATATGTGGATAGATGGAGAAGTTAGGGGAAGGGAAATAGAGCTTCGAAAAAACGTAATGAAAAGTGATCATGTGGAGCTATAGCCCATTCTCCGCTACTTGAAAAGGAATTTCTCTGCACCCTCCTCGTCTCTCGGCGTCTCTCTCTCATGTTGGCGGGCTATTTTTGTAATTTTCGGAGAGGGAACAGAGAGACGCAGACAGGCAGAATATTTCAATTCGCGATGAATGGTTAAAAACGAACCCTTATACTCCCTGGCAGGACTCTCACTGATCGCATGTCTTCCCCTTCTTTTCCTCATTTTCGCCTCCTCAAAGTCCCGAGACACGAGCTGCTCCATGTTGACGGCCGTGCTCGACTTCTGGAGGTTGCCTCTGAAGCTGAACATCGAGTTTCAGGATGTTCTGGTGTTGATCCAACCTTCTCGGGAAGGTCGGGTTACGCGGGAGGGTTCCGTTGGGACTTCTGCTGTTCTGGCTGACTTTGCGACGGCCGGGAAGGGACATCGTGTCGAATCGCGGTGTCGCCGACGTCGCCGTCGTGTCGTAGCGATTGAAGCTTCGGACGCTCTTCGTGTCGCTGTTTTTGCTGCGAGCGCGGTTGAGGGACGCGTGCCGTCGCACGGTGTTGTACCGTTGGTTGGAGCGCGACGATTGGACTGCAACTGACAAAATCGATCATTAAGAGGTCCACAGACGATTTCGTTCAATTAATATAGTCTGTATGCCACGACTTGGAATTTCACCGAACGACATTCCGCTGTTCCGCTGCGTGCGTTCGCGAAGCGTCTTTCGAATCTAGGTCACGCTTTCAATTTATTTTTATTGATGTGGGATCACATGAAAGTAGACTACTTTTATAAAAGAAAAAGAAAATTAAAAGCGTGACCAAGGTTCGCAAAGGCGCGCAGCGGAACAGCGGAATGTCGTTCGGTGAAATTCCAAGTTGGGGTACACAGACTATACAAGAATTGTCACTTTACTATGCGGTTGAGACCTTTTTGAAAAGCTCTTGGAATTCATAGGAAAGCCTTAGAAGTCACTATAGGGATTAGGGGCTTAAAAAGGCCCCTAGAGTAAACAAAATAGTGCTTCCTAAAGAGCTCCACTTTTGCAAGTTGTGCGGGGAGGTAAGGTAAAACCTTGAGGGAACCTGAAAGAGCATAACTAGGGACTACTCCCCTAGAGCTGCCACTAACTGAAATCCTAAAGTGGACACTTTTGCAAATATTAGTAACCTCTATGTCTTATTTTACTATTAAAATCACAATAAAAAGTTTTATTTCGGATTTTAAAAAAATAAAAAAGGCCCCCAAATACCAAAATTTCAGTTTTTGGTCTTTTTTCGCTATTCCTTTCTTAATTCTTAACTTTTTTTGAAAAACCAAAATGTTCTGAAAAGGAATCTGGAGCCCCTATCTACCAAGGTAAGTTCTAAGCTGAAGTGAATTTTTTTGCCATCAATAGAGTTTCGAAACCTCTTCGGACGTTGACGGCCGCGTTGGGATGGTATCTGAAGGACAAGGCCGCCCGTCGGACCCGTCGACGATTTTTCTGCCATCGGCAGTAGGCACAGCACAGTTTGAAGTAGATGTACGTGAATATCTGAATATTCCCATTATTTCACAGGATCTAAAACTAAAGCTTCTATTTTTGACTTTCTTTTTAAAATGAAAATATCCATAAAGTCTGTTCAAAATGATTTAATTAAAATGGAATGAATTTTTGCTTCTTACGTTTTCTTCTTGTTCTGTAAAGTTTCCCTTGCTCTCTGACATGCAGAATCGAAAAAAATGGCAAAAAGACCACTTTTTAAAGGAGCATGGACAAGTTGAAAATAGGTATTGAAAGCGTAGAGATTTTTTTTTGTTTTTTTAAAGATATTTTAAAGTTTCTGTACTTTAGAGTCCCTAGAAAAAAAGTCAGGAAAACCTAACGTTTCAAAAAAAAAATCTACTTTTTAAAGGAGCACGGACAAAGTCCAAAAAGATCTCGAAGCGAAAAATCAGATTCGAAATTCTTCAGGTGGTTCAAGGTCATTCAGAAATCTAAGTAAAAAAGACAGGACAGACTGAAAATTCTCTTTTTGTTTATTAGAAGTTGTTTCGTATTGCCAGAAGAAAGTTCCTGTTCAAAAAAAGACTTTTAAAGGTGCATGGACAAGGTTCAAATAGGTCTTGAAGCGAACAGCTACTTCTCTACTTTTTTTGAAAGTAAAGTAGGGTTTCTGTGCATACAGAGTCTCTCAGAAAAAGTAAAAAATCAAAAAATCAGGACAAACTCAAGTTTTTTTTGTTTTCATAGGCAAAGTCGGAAGGACCCTCCAAGGGTCCATAAAGGACCATAGAAACGTTCCTTTTAGGGTGATGAAGGCTTTCTTTTTGCGCCCTTTTCTCAGCCCTTATGCACCATTTTTGCTGCCTCTTCCTTTTTCCACCATTTCATGAGCCTGTAGAATCCCAGAAAAATGGAAGGCTCGATAAAGGGACTCTCTTTGCTGCCTTTCTGCGGCCTTTTTTGAGCCTCTCCCTTTTAGCGACCATTATCCACCATTCCGACTTTGCCCGAGGAGTTCCACGGCAATAATTCCTACAGTTCTGCTCAATAGAACTCCATCAGAAAACATTAATTTTTTTTGTTGTCTTGTTACTTTTTCTGCAAAGTGTTCCTTGCTCTCAGCCTCGAAAAATGGCAACAAAATCTGTCGTGTTTTGAGAAACGAGAGGGGGGATCGATAGTCGCCAAATGGGTCTAAATTTATCCGTCTCTTCTCTCGTCGGCTCGTCTGCATGTCCACTTGATATTTGCATCCCAAAAGAAGCCATCTTTTTTTCTTCTCCTTCTTGCCTTGCAGTGTGGAATTTTTCGGCCAAAAAGTTCACAAAGAAGAATTGTGTGAGGCGGCCGTCGTGCAGTCGATTTGCCTCCGGGGACATAGCGACGGCGTTTTCCCAAAAACCGCCGTCGAGAAGCCCCGAAAAGTCCTTTTCACGACTTTTGCGTTCGTCTATTATCGCGGATATTGGGCAAGATTTTTTGAAGGGTTCCTCATTTAAGTTCCTCATTTTTCGGGTTGGAAAAGCTTGGGACGAGAATTTTCTCGTGGAAAACTCAAAAGTGATTGAACTTGCTTCAGGCAAAACGCACAGGTGTGCCCTAGCGAAATAAGCTTCTGATTGGCAGGCCACGCCCATCGATTTTCGAGTTTTTCAGAAGAACGTTTCGAACATTACGTGGTGTATTAGATACCTTGGATTAATTAAAACGCAAAAATCGCAAAAAAAAAAGTTTTCATAAGTAATTTTTTTTGGGAAAATGTACAGGTGTGCCCCTAGCGAAATAGGCTTCTTATTGGCAGGATACGCCCATTGATTTTCGATTTTTTCAAGAAACTGATTCGAAATTTACGTGACGACTGTATAAAATAACGTAGGTTAGTTTATAACGAAAAAAGAAAAAAAATTCAAAAATTAAATAACTTTGAAAAAATGCACAGGTATGCTCTAATAAAATAAGTTTCTGATTGGCAGGCCACGTCCATTTTTAGTCAATTTTCAAGAGTGACGATGAAAATCGGCTCATAAAAAATCTATACAGAATTTCTGGCAGCTTTAAAATAACTTTTTCCTTGTGGATGAATGAAGCTAGTACGCTCTACCGATATAAGTTGATTTTTGACTCGTTGGGCCCCAAATCTGGCTGTAATTTTTCTACACGAACAAGACCCTATACTCAAATTGTTGCTGATCGAAGAAATCTTGCAAATTAATCCAGAAGAAGAAAAAAAATATGAATAAATATTCCAACCCAGTTTTTTTTAATGGATCATTCGCAGGATTTCATGAAGGTTTCGAAGCGAAGAGCCTCGTTTTGTTCAATTTTAGTTCACACAAAACTTTTGCGTTGCTCAGACTCAAAAAATTTCTCAAATTAAAGTTTGGTATTTTTAAAATTTTCATGCATGAAGTTATTGACTGAAAATTTATATCAATTAATTCAATTGTATCTTACTAATTACTCTTAAATTATCAAACTCTTCCCAATAACGAACCTGAGCTAAGGTTTCGGCGATGTTCGCCAGGCACAGGAGCATGAGCGGGATACCCAACATCGAGTAGAAAATCGTCAACAATTGCCCGCTGTGGGTTTTTGGGCAAATGTGACCGTACCCTGGGAATAATCAATAATATTCAATTAAAAATCAGAACTTCATAGTATACTCGTTCAAAGTTACAAAAATAATCAAAAGGAATGTTGAATAATTCAATAAAAAGTGCTTGGAAAGCCAAAATAAATTCAGCTTCGAAAAAGTCTTGGTTGATACTAAATGAAACTTTTGAAAATAATCTAAATTTTATAATAAACTTTCCCAATTTCAACCAGTAATTTTTGAATATCGACTTTTTTAAACTTGCAAATTTTTCAGAGCCTACTTCCATTCTTGATTCAAAGCAGAAACCACAGAATAATCGAAAAATCACCGATAGTTGTAAAAACAGTAATAGAATAAAGAAGAGCGCCGGAAAAGGTCCATTGATAGGTCGGCCGTTCGTCGTCGTGTTCATCGTAGCCTACAGAAATCCGTATTATCAAACAAAATGGAAAATTCTTACGGAAAAAAGATCAATGAAACAGTAAAATCAAGAAAAAAAAAAATGCACTTAATAAATATTGATAATCATTATGCCGTGTTCAAAGTGATACTCCGAAGTTCAAAATAACCATCAGAGAGTGAAAAAAAGATAACTAAATTCTAGATAATCAGAGTTAAATTCGAATTTTTGCGGAAACTACTTTAAACGGAGCATTATAAAGAGAAAAAAATTTATGATAAAACTCGAATTTGTAATTGTGATTTTTAACACAAAACTATAGAAGAAAAAAACAATTTCTAGATAGGAAGATGTGGAATAAATTGAAAATGATCAAATTTCTTTAAATTTCTTATCAATGAGTAAAAAAATAAAAAAAGTTTTTCTGCCACAACGTTTTTCTTTTTGAACTTTGAAAAATTAAAAAAAATCTGATCATTCCAAAAATTAATTTATAGTTTTTTCGTAATTTCTCATCAAATTTAAATCCTTTCTTACCATTTAGTGGAGAACCATGGAAAATTTGCAAAAAAACTAGTTTAAAAAAAAGAAAAATGAAGAAATAGAGAAAAAAAGCGTAAAAAAAGTACAAGAGCCAAAATTTTTGCACTGGAGCGCAAGTGCGCGAGGAAATTCAGTTATTTCTTTAAAACACTGTTATTTTCGAAAAAACTACATAACTTAAAAGTTGACAAAATCAAATAAAAAACATCATAAAACAAACCTTGAAAATTGACGGCCTCAACCAGGACCATCTCATATTTTTTTGAGCAATTCATGAGCTTTTAGCTTCACCTCGGATTCTTCAATCACCGTCGAGTTGTTGATAAAATTGTACAAATCAAAGACGACCTTAATATTGATTACTTTATTTAACTTTTGAGAATATTTATACCTGCATCGTTTTATTTTTAACATGTCCTTGGGATGCGAGTTCTTGGGGTAGTTCTAATGACTGAAAAAAATAATTTCTCATTTAACGAGTTGTGGATGTGACCCTATTTTTTTAAAAATTCTAACTCAAAATTTCTCAAGTAAAAAAATTAAGATGAATCATAGAAATGTCAATTATTACGACTTTTTCAAATTCTTGAATTTTTTTATCTTTTTTTGAATCGAATAAAATCATCTCAAAAAGTCCTCGCTTTTCAAAAACGTAAAACTCTAAACTAAAAAAAGGAAAAAGTAATTTTCTTTTTGAGACCTTGAAAAGTTATCTGACTATGCTCTTTCAAACATTATTCAAACGCTCCTTGCAACTAATTAAAATCAGTACTTCTGATGATTTCCCTTTCCACTTAGTTCACCTGAAACATAAAAGCGCCTAGAACCGCATACAAAGCGACCATGAAGCAGAGACCGACGTGAGTGACAGTGAAGATGGTCGCCTAAATACAGTACTTTCCTTGGAAAAGGGTCTCGGAACGAACAGTGCGGACGAAGGTCGTCACCCGGAGGCAGATCGATCGGATTTCGTCCCTCATCGTTCGATGCTCGGCTTCATAGTCTGACGGTTAACAGGGGGGATCCGGGGGAAAAGTCTGTTGTTTGGCCGGAGTGAACAAAAAAACGTGACGAAAACGGCGGCTGGAGGGCTGGAAGGCGAGAAAGAAAGAGGAGAAGAAAGCTGGCGGCGAAGGTCCCAGCGGGGATGAGCCGCAGAAAATGAGGAAGCTCGTTTCGACGGAGGCTCTAGCATCGCCGGAAACGGCGTCGTCGCGTCGACGTCGCGGAATCGATGCCTCTTGGTCTCGCTGGGAATTTTGAAACAATCGTCGCTGGTTTCGGTTATTTGGGGGATTAGGTTGAGATCGGGTGTCTGAAACAGTTGAACACTTCGAACCTCAAGGAAAAGGGTCTCAACGTCGTTTTTAGCTGGTTTCGGTTGGTTCGGGGGAATTTTTAGGTTGTCTTTGGGTTCGAAATGGAGAGTTGAACTTACTAGGAAGGTCATTCCAGTCTTTCTCAGAATCTTTAGCTCAATTTTCTAAAAAAAAAAGTCTCAACTTAAAACATTAAACGATTTTATTTTAATTTTAAGGTTAAATTTCTCAGGAAAAAAAAGTGGCCCCTATAGTGGTTAGGAGAACAAACAGCCTCTACAGAGGGCCGAAAAATTGGTCCCAATAGAGGCAAAATTAAAGTGGTCCATATAAAGGTTTAGGGTCTGAACCCTTAGCCCTCAAAGCTCAAGTGGTCCCTATAGGGGTCTTTCAACTTAATTCAAAAAAACGCTTTTTCGCATATAGTTAGTAACAGGAATCGACTCGCATGTCCCTATAGGGGCCACTAACTCAAACCCCTATATATATAGGGACCATTTTTGCAACCCTTAGTGGCCATTTTAGGGGTTAGTAAAGCCGTACCACCTTACTTCCTCTCAAAGAGGGCGCCAAGCTTGAAAAAGTGGCCACTTTAGGGGAGCATTTATCATTTTTGAACTCCATCCGAAATAAATAAAAACTAAAATATCACTATAGGGTCTACTTAAAATTAAGTTAGAAGTCAGAACCAAAACCCCTAATTAGATTTCAGCCCTCTACGGAGCACTATTCCGTTTATTATAAGGGATTTTTGCTCTGACCCCCTTTAGTGACCACTTGGAAATTAGTTAGGAAAAAAAAATCAAGAGCTGTACTTAGGATGAAAACCTTTAGAGGGACGGGTTTTTGTGGATAGAAAAAAATTTTTTTTTGGCCAAAATTTCTAATTTCATAGCCTGCCTCAACTAACTTTGCATTGGAAAAGTTAGAATTTTTTAAGTTTTTTTCTTAAATTTTTTTTCCTATCAACTGTACGTGTTCTTCTTTTGAAGCAAAAAAAAAATGGATTTTTATATTCAAAGGGACATGGAAAGGCAAGACAAAATGTGGAAAGTACAGTGAAATTTGGGTACAGAGAGAACCGTAATCGACAGAGTAAAAATGTAAATTTCCGTTTACGGAGCGAAAAAGTGATTTCCAGACGTGAATTCGGGGACCGGAGCTTCGCAGTTGGGCAGTGAGGCTTGGGTCGTCACTGAAATGAGCAATGTTTTGATGGATATGGATAATATGAGCAATACCATTTGTCGGCAGCATGAAATAGCCCCGCCCAGAGCGGTAGAACTCGTAATCGGCCCTCACAGCGATGCAGTCGACGTTTCTGAGCAAAGTTGAAAACTTGAAAAAACTTAATTATGAGATTTGAAAAGAAAAAAAATGAGAAAATTAAAACGAGAACTAACTAGTAAGACTTCATCAGATAAAGGCCGAAAATTGGAGTTTTCCCGTTTCCATATTTCTTTTTTACTAATAACCAAACAGTACATCAATGGAACGATTAAAAAAACGACCAAATGTTCAAAATAGAAAATTCTCCAGTTATATTTGGTAAATGAAAAATTCACCGAATTGAACAAGTCAGGAACTCCAGAGTGGTCTCTATAGGAGCCCTTGGAGATCCCCTCTAGGGACCCCTTTGTCAATCCCTACAAGGATCACTGAAGCTTGAGAAGTGGTCCCTATAGGGGCATGCTGGTCGGCAATCGTTATAAACTCTATGCGAAGAAGCATTTCCATGCGAAAAACTAAATAACTAAGCGTTTTTTGAATGAAGCTGAAAGACCCCTACAGGGACCACTTGTTTGGTCCTTATAGTTTGTTCCCCTAACCCCTACAAGCCCCACTCTGGAACTCCTAAAAATGGGCGGGGGGGTTTTCCAAATACATTTCCATTGGAGGTCGGGGATTACCGTTTTTGAGGTTTGATTTTTCAAAAGTTTTTATCCTTCAAGACGTGACCATGTTTAGAAGAGATGTGTCCGCACCAGGGACGCAGTGGCTAGCGCTCTAGCCTGCGGATCATTCTTTGAAGAGTTCTGGTGACAATATTGTAATTTTACTACAGGAAAAACTCCAAACAAGTTCAATACCCATGTCAGCCATTTTTAAACTACAGTTTATTGTTTAGTTGATTTTTTCCAAGCTAAAACCTTTTGAGACGTGTGAAGCAAACGTGAGGCGTTAGACATCTCGAAACTTGCATTGTCCAGTGTTCATCGTTGATCGCGCCCATACATCGGTCAAAGTCCTGAAATCGCCCTTTTATCTGCTTTTTTTGTGTTGAAGAAAGTATGTTCTACTCACCGCTACATGAAAATTTCAACCTGTCTGCGCCCTCTTTTCTCTCACAAGCGTAAAAAAAGCCCAAATCAGACTTTTCGATATTTTGGCAAATGAGTCATACTCTTATCTTTGAAACGTTCGAATCATGCATAAAACTAAAATTTTAGCTCCAAAGTTTTCGATTAACGAGGTTTTCTCGTCTTGCATTGAAAAAAAGGTGTTCTGATTTAAAAAAATCGGACCTGTCTGGGCACTCTTCTCTCTCACCGAAAAGGTGATAATGACGTAAAAAAAAAACGCAAAACGAGAGATTTGCAGAGAAAAAATCCTACTGTCAAAGAACCAGTTTTGAGTTCAAAAGGAATTACAAACTGTTTCAAGTTTTTTTTCGAACACAAAATAAACTGTTGCAAGTCTTCTTCCGCGTTCAAAAAAAGAAATTTAGACCGTTTCAACTACAAAAAGAAAAAAATCAGGCTAGTCCAAGTTCTGGTTGATAAATTTTCTGTAATGGTTGAAATCATCTCTTGAAATCCGAGTAAAAAAATATAATTCACACTCAATTTTCAGTTAAAATGACCGTATTTTTTTCTGGAAAAGTACCTCCAAAAACTCTCTGACTAACAGTGTTCCTGTGAAAAAAAAATTTCCCTCATTTTTTGATGAAATAGCCGTTTTTATTCCCTGAAAAGCTACCTCCAAAGACTCCGTATTCGATTTATTCAGTTGAGCGTCCCGGAACTCGGAAAACTCGACCAATCTTTGTTGCCATCGACTGTAAACTCGGGAATTAGTAAAAAAAAAAAGAGAGGAGTTACACGACATTCCTAAAGGGGTGAGGGAAGGTGAGCAAGGCGTCAAAGATTCTGAATTTACAAAAAAAAAGTAAGTGCGCGCGCCGGATAAAATGACGTCATCCTACGTCACAAATTACATGGAGTATTCAACGTTAATAACTCGTTTGTTCGATCGCCTTTGGCTGCGTATTTCAAATTTGAATTTTAGGGCCAAAATTTTTTGACGTCTCCCCACCCCGTTTGGGAACGCCGTGGTTATAAGAAATTACCCATTGAGAATATCAACGAGAGGATTCATATCGATGGGAGAAGGCGATGGGACCGTATTGTGAGAGTGACGGAGATGGTAAAAGTGAGCCTGGAGAAAATAATATTTCGTAAAAAAAAGAATGACTTTGAAAAAGGAAAAGGCGTTCTTGGCAAAGAAAAAGTCAAAAATAGGGGGTAAAACATATATCAATAAAAAGTTTTTGCGAAAAAAACATTGAATACTGAATTTTTCCTCCAAAAAGTGAATATAATAAACGACTCTTGAAAAACGGAAAAACGACTTTGAAATTGAAAAAAACTCGAAAACTGAGGGAAAAGAGATAGAAATTGAAATTTTTGAGCATAAAATCGCTGAAATCCTACTTCAAAAAGTGGATATAATTTCAGGAAAAAAAGAAAAAAATTTTTACTTTGAAATTTCCTAATTTTTAATTTTTTTGTCTCAGAAAAAAAGGAGGAAAAAAAGGAGGAGGACATAAAATTAAACGTTTTCTTATATAAATCCTGAGAAAGAAAAATCAATTTTAGATTTTTAAAATTTAATTTTTCGAATCTAACACCGCCGGATTTCATATTAGCAAAAATTATAAAAAAACAACCCCAAAATAACTTTTTCTGAAACAGAAATTTGAAGAATCGTATAAAAAAATTCAGAGTATTTATCAAATACAATCAATAAATTTTTTTGTAAAATGGAAACGACATAAAAAAATGTAATAAATTAATTGGATTCTCGACAAAGAAAAAGCAGAATCGAGTTTTTTTCAACGAATAAAAATATAAATTGGCTTCAAAAAGTCAATATTTGATTTTTTTAAAATATTTTTTTGTTGAATTAATTTATAGGACACCTAATTGAGCAAATAAGGTAGTTTTTTGACCTTTTGACCCGATTATGACTTTTTTTTGGAACAGAGATTTGTAGAACCGTATAAAATTTCAACCTTTTTTTCATGAAAAAAACCCAAAAAAAAAACCTTCCGACAAGGAACACGAGTTTGAACGTAGCCGAACCGATGGATGCCGGTTTCGTGCATGTTGACAGAATCAACGCGGCCTGAATTATCGAAAATTTCGAGTTTTTCAGGTACTTCATTCATTTTTGAAGCACGAAGGCTGTATGAAGTCATCGAAAAAAAGAATTAAAAAAAATATCTGTACAAATTTTTGAATGTCAATTTCTCGCTTAAGCTCCGCCCCTAAGGACGCTATAAACCAATCGGAGGGCGAGCCATCCACAGAGCGTTTTTGAATGACGTTCTTTAAATTTAAAATCTGAGCAGACTACATATTTTTTTGATCATTTTTTTCAAGGCAAACTGTTTTTCAATTAATATTTTTTTCTCACAATAAATTAGCGATGGATTAAATCTCAATCAAATTCAACAAAAAGGATCCTAAAATGAGCCGCATTCATCGAAAAATTGAAGAAATTTTTCAAAAAAATAGTCCTGACACGATCACCTAAACATTGTGGGAAAACAAGAGAAAACGACCGAAATTTATGATTTTTCGAGAAATATATATATTAAAATTCAATCAGTGAATATTTCGAGTAGACATTTTGGATATCATGATAAAAATTATTTTCAAGTCGAAAAATACGAAAAAAAAGGACCCGAAAAACTCTGAGATTCAATTTCTAGCGTTTTCCATGAATGCCAAAAATATTTTTAGGAAGAAAACGTCGAAAAATAAGAAAAAGAGCCCAAAAAACTCAAACAATCAATGCAAAAAGCTCATTTTAATTCATGAGTTCTGGACCCTCAAACTGACTGGCATTCACGACGACGCGAGTCTTCATCCGCCAAACATTACAGTTCATTTTGTTTCTCGACTCTCTAAGAAAATCGAAATTGAACGACGATAGGCTGTATTTGTCCTAAAAATTCATTTTTCCAATGGAATATGGAATAATCTTTAACCTGTGATTTGGGTGGAACAAATTGAACATCACGGTGCTCGAAAAGCAAAAGAACCGGCCTGGGGGTGCTCATTGAAAAGGCCCTATAAGGAAATGAATTTAGATAAACAAAAATTATTTATTCAGATACGTGAATTCTAATGAGTCCCTCAAATTCAAAATTGTGAATTTTTGAAAAATTGTACAAATTAAAATCAGATGAGACTCGCAGGAGTCGTTAGTTTGATGCGAAAGAAGGGATAAATCAGAAACTCGAGAGTGGTCCCTAAAGGGACGCAACCCTAGGGGCCCTTGAAGGCTTTTAGGAACATTTCTAACAACTCCTATAGGTTCCGCAAAAGCTTACAAAAGTGGCCCCTAGAGGGGAAATACTACGATTATTGTTATGAACTCTATGAGAAGAAATATTTTCAAAAAAAAAATTTGAAAGACCCCTATAGGGAGCACTTAAATTCAACTTCTCTAGGGGCTCTTTTTGTCCCCTATAGGGACAACTCTGACGTTCCTAAGAAGCTCTCAAGCCTATGTTTGAGAAAAATAAATTTTCCAAATTAAAAAGCATGGTATTTTGGCAAAACGCACAGCTTAGATCTATGAGAAAAATGTCCGAAAGGCGCGAAAAAAGATCATTTCCTAAAAAAATAATAAATCCAAACTCACTCGAATGATCTCGAGATTAATTCCAGGTCTGATTTTCGTCGGATCCACGGGCAAAAGAAGGTCGTCTATATCACTGAAAACGACAATATCCGCCCAAGGTTTGACGAAAAACAAGCAGTTCACGTGGGATTCTTCAATGCCTGATGAAATATAGTTTATATGTAGAACTTCGAACCTCGACTGAGAACAAGGCCATTGGGATTGGAATCAGAAAGGACGGGCCATTTTGGCCAGTGGCGGATGATAACGATGCCTTAAAAAGTTCAAAGATTTGATTGAAATTGGAAAAATTTTTAAGTGAAAAAAACTTGAAACTTGAATAGTTTGAACCTGAAATGCAGAATAATCTTAAAATTATAAAGAATTCACAAGCGCTTGAAAAATCTTTTTGAAAAATTCAAAACTATAAGGGAAAAGCGAGTGCAAATGCGCGCTATAGAGAACGTCACGGCGGAATGTCGGTTCGTTTTTTTGTCAATTTTTTTCTTTAATTTAAGAGAATTCGAAAGGAGTGTATTGAGTATTTTAAAGTCATACTCAAGGTATCGAAACAAAAAAATCTTAAAAATGCGAGGGATTTCAAAAAACTATGGGTAAGACCATTATTTCAACAAATTCACCCTTCTTCTGATATTCTTCCAAAATTCGATAGGTCGTCGTGGAGGCAGACTGAACAGGAACCACGATTTTTGTCGCGCCCATGGCTAGCCAAATCTCTGAAATTCTCAATTTGATAACTGATTTGGAAAAGAAAATAACCAATTCCAGCCAAAAGCGTCTGCCAATCGGTGTAAATGTACATGGGGGCCATGCAAACGACAAGATCGTGTCGTTTTTCTCTGAAAAGATTACATTTTTAATCGAAAAACGCATTATAATCACTTCAAAGGAGCCTCTGGAACAATGAGCATTGAATCTTCGACAAATGGGGTGGTGCTGATTCTGAATTTTTGAGATTTCAAATCTGAAAATATTAAAAAAATAGACTTGAAATCCTTATAGGCATGTTCTTCCAAAGGACATTCGGCAATATGTCCCGCCCAGGAGCAAATATCCGAGGCGGCTCTTTTTCCTCTGTGGATCCGTTGAACTGTTGCGCGTGTTACTAAAAAAAATGCTCGTTGATTGAAGAATTTTAAAAATTGATGAATTTTGGGGAATGATATAGTCTGTGTGCCAAGACTTGGAATTTCACCGAACGACACTCCGCTGCTCCGCTGCGTCGCGAAGCGTCTTTGCGAGCCTCGGTCTCGCTTTTAATTGGTTCTTATTTCTGATAGATGGACTGTTCCACTAGGAACACGTTTTGGTCGAGTTCTTAAATAAAATGAAAAATTAAAAGTGCGCAAAGGCTCGGAGCGGAACAGCGGAATGTCGTTCTATGAAATTTCAAGTCGTGGTACAGACTATACTAATTTTAATTTTGAAAGTTGATTCGAAAAATCAATTCGGTCTACACTTTTCAGAAATTTCGAAGCGTTCTCTGACTCTAAAAAGTCAAATTATTTTTTTTCACTAACTCACTTTATTCTAACTGGATTTTGTAAAAGTGGCCCCTATAGGGGTCTTAGTTCGTGGCATCTACATAAGGAACATGCTAGTCCATTTTTTGATCAAGTTAGCTTTTCTTTAATTATCAAGTGAATAAAAATTAAAAGAACCCTATAGGGAGCCCTTGAGCTTTAGGGGCTTGGGGTCCGACACTAACACGTAAGCTTTTATAAGGACCACCTAGACCCTCTAGAAAGCCCTTTTTGTCCACTAAAGGGACTTTTTTTTCCCTAACCCCGATAGTGACCACTCAGCCATTACATAGTGATGAAGTTCTATGCAAAAATCTGATTTTTATTTAAATAATTAATTCAACAACTTCTCTATTTAGTTCCTAATTTCAAGTTTTCTATTTCACGAAGGCTTTTTGGTCCATATTTTCCAGTTTTACCTGCATATTCATTGTTGGGAACCATGGAGAAGCAGTAAACCGGATGCTCAATCCGACTATCGCCGAGAAAATGAATGACCTAAACTTTTTTTTTTAATTTTTTCAGATTTTCAACAGGTTTTTACCGCGAATCTTCCATCGACGTTTTGTTCTCTTTCTTCTCTCCAGAATGAGCCGAGGATTATTTGTCGTGAGTCTAAAAGTTAAAAAAATATGCGTTTTTGCTCCTTTTTTGTATGTAAGTCTGTCTGTCTAGAAACCGACTTTAGACGAAGAAAATGGCTTACTTTGCTGTTTCCTCAAAAAAGTGTCGCCAATATTCTTCATGGACCACATGTTGATGGTTCTCGAGTACCAGGCACATCCGCAAAAAATGGCAAGGAGAATCAGAGCGGCTCGGAAAATCTGCAGAATAGTACTTCTGATCAAATTTTTCAATGAATAAAATTTAAGCTTTTCAATGTAATCAGGAAAAGGATGCAGGAAAAAAAATATTTTAAAAAGAAAACGCTTGAAAAAAAAATATGTTCAAAAATACTTACTCACAACTCACTAGTCAGATAAACATTGAGAATAGAAAAATCTTGAATGACACGCCTGTTTAAAATGGCCGGTCGTATTACGGTAGTTTGGATAGGTTTTTCAATAATAAAATGAAATCTTGTGTATTTTTTGTGACGTAACTTACCTTGTAACCTCGAGAAATAGGTCCAGATTGCAAAAAAGAAAGAAAATTTAAAAAATTTCCTGGCTCCGAAACTGACTGCGCAATACTGACCGGCCACCGGCCGCCGTAGTACTGTCTCAAAAATGCGTGATGACCAAAAAAAATAGAAAATTTCGCCTTGAGACCTTTTCGAAGTTCACGAACTTCGCCTATCCAAATTTTGTTAAAAAATTTCACACCTTTAAAACAGACTCAAAAGCGTAACTAAAAACCGACCCAGTCGCCGATGCCGACACTGTGGTTACTGAAAAAGCGTCGAATTCGCGGAGTCAAAGACCAAATCCGACGAAGTTTGACGTGCAGCTCACGCATGATGACGTTGCGACGCGGCAGCTCGACGAAAGCTTCGAGGAAAAAATCTCGCGAAGAGTTGGGTCTTTTGGTCGGCCGATGGTTGGACCTCGGAGATGGTAATCTTGGCGCATGGATTTTCGCTTCAACTCGTTGTGGATTTTATCGTCTCGCGATCTCCCTGTTTTCTTGCTGGGTCTGGGCGAGGGGCCAAACTTCGAGTGGTCATTGTTTCGCTTTTGGGCTTCTGAAGCTTATCAAATAAATATTATGCAAGAAAATCTAAAAAAAGAAAAAAAAGGCTAAAAAAAAGTTTTTTCAGTGTCTCCACTAGCTCTACCTTTCCCGTCTTATGACCCAGAATTTTGTTAAGATTCATCCTATGCAAAAAAACGAAACCCCCCGTGGCAAGATCATTTTTCTTGAAATAATTATTGATCAAAATGTTGTATTGAAAGTTTTGGTCAAATTATTGATTGATCAGAATTTTCATTCTCAAGATATTGGTCAGAATTTTATTCTCAAAGCATCGATCAAAAAGTTATACCAAAAATTTTGCTCGGAATATCGATCCATCAAAACATTGAAATCCAATGATTGGTCATTAATTTAAGTGATCAAAAACTGATCTAATAAACGATCTCTCGAGAAATGACATGTTAAAATCTGGTTGAACAGTGAAATGTCAATAGTTTGATCAATTGAAATGGTTGAACGATCGGTCTGGTGAACTCTAGTGTCCGGGAGCTTCCAGTGACCAACTTAGTAGCGTCAGCATCCTTTAGTGATCCCTAGAATCGCTCAGAAACCTCCAAAGCACGTCCGTTTGGCGTTACACGGTGTTCTTTTGACGACGCCCCTCCCACAATTTCCGTAATATTTGACGTCTTTTTGTGCATACACAGAACGACGCTAACTCGCATACTCATTAAATTCAAAAATAATTTTTTTCCTCGAAAAATAGCGTTTTTTCAAAACTATAGACGTGGAAAAAATCGATCCTTTCACAATTCCTTTTCTAGTTGACAAAAAACATTTGGGTGAAAGTTTTTCTTATTTTCTGAACACTTTCATACCTTTCATCCTCAAAATTGGTTAAAGTCCTTTTTTTGAGTGAAAAACGTGGAGTTTTGTGCCGAAAATGACTTATTGTGGTTCTATGTGTCTTTCCCGACTTATTGAAAATTTAAAAAAAGTTTTTCTTTACAGATTTAGTTTAGTTCATCCACCTAGTGGTATTTTTTTCTCCTCTGCAACATCGCCATACCATTCTGATGTTGCGAAAATGAAGAGATTGATTGATTCGAATAAAAAATTCAATTTGACACTGAAAATGTTGCTAAAAGGCTTTTTTTTTTTTGCTTTAAAGGGAAAATTTGGTCAAAACACAGCAGTTAATATTGAAAATTGAAAAAAAAGTTCCTTCGCATTTTGCTGTCGCAATAAAAAATAATTACCGTAAATCAGTACGAAACAGATAAAGATACAGCTGAAATAAACATGAAAAATCACGTGAAGCACTTGAGCAACAAGAAATTCAAATGTTCGCGCGCAAGCTGTCTACCGTAAATCTAGGTGGAGCAACCCTTCCAAGCCGCTCCACATTTTCAAAAATTTTACATTTTCTTCCACTACGCAGAACGCTGTGGTTACCAATGTGCGAGAAGATAAAAGAAGAAAAAAAATGAATCAAAGGGGTGTGAAAAGCGCGCCCCAATGATAAATCTCTTGTCAATTTACGTGAGGCGAGCAGTACAAATACCGGAGCTCCGGTGATTGAAAGGCTAAAGCCGCGTTCAGAGTTATTGATCGAAATTCGAAATAATTTCTGACTGATGATCATGTTCAGTTTTTATTGACGTGCTGAAAATGTTGGTCGGATCTGTCGGTTTTTTGAAGTGGTCGTTTTTTTTAAATATATGAAGTTTTTCTATTTGTTTGAAATATAACAGTTTCTATGTGCGTATCGTTTCACATTATTGTCTTGGTGTATATACATCTCTTTTTGTCATTCTTTGAATCTTTTTCGGGTCTAAAAATCTTACTTGTGATCGAATTTTTGATTTCAAAATGTTTAAGCCGTTTTTAAGAAGAAGTTTTTCGTAAAATTTGAATGTTTTACACGCAGAAAGTTATTGTATTGCATGAAAAAAAAACTACAACATAATGGATTGAAAAGCATTATTTCTCTCTTGCTGAAAATATTTTTCGGCTCTCAAGGACATTCCACTTAGGAAAACGAAACTTTTTGTTGTTTATGCTTCTGTTGCGTGATTCATAACGTTTCTTTCATTTTTTCGCTCCATATTCATTGAAAATGACCGTCGGAGCTCCAACCAGCGTTAGAATCGAGGTCTTCATCAATCATTCGCCGTCGTCATGACGCGGCTGTCATCTCCTAAATGATGATTAAAATCCAGAAGGCGGAGGAAAGTAAGGTTGGTAGAACATTTGATTTAGTAGAGCTATGTTTGAATTTTTGAAAGGAGTTAAATATTTTTAAAAGAGAAAAAAAGGTTTTTTTTTTTGAGGGGGAAATGGTAGGTTTGAATTTTGCACACAAAAACTGAAACTTTGAAGTTTTTTTTTGATTTAGCCAGAAGATTTTGAAAAAAAATAGAAACTCGGTATTGAGCGGTTGATTTATTAAAAAAATAGAAAGTAACTCGAATTTTTTTAGATTTAAGGTTTCAATTGCCATTTCAAATACAAATATGTACACGAAAAATAAAGTCTTCAAAAGTGACAATTTTCAAAACATAATTTTTTTGAATGCCTATGTACCTCTGAAGTATAAAAGATCTTTATTTCCGAAGCTTTCGAAAAAATTCAATTCCCCATAAAGATATTTGTTAAAATGACAAATTTTTTTCGAAGTATCATTTTTTTAATGCTCTTGTTTCTCAGAAAATTAATTAAATCTTCATTTTTTTGATGCTTTTTAAAATTGAGAACAGAATAGCAATCAGAAGTTTCACAAAACTTTTTTTTTCTGAAACTCCATCTTTCAGATTTTCATGTCCCTCTTAAGTATATTTGATGTTCCTTGGGGGCGATTATAGTGATAAAAAGATAAGGACTGCGTTTTGAGATTTTCAAGTCCTTTAAAAGTTCGATGAACTCCCTTCTGGAAAATCCACCTGACGACTGGCGCCGTGCCAACCGGAAAAGAGAGATTGAAAATTCTCAACGGGAGGGAGAATTTGACGAGGCTTCTGATGCCGTCCATTGAAAAAGACAATGGGCGGGCATTGTTGGCGGCACGCCAATTAGCGTCCATGGCGATTGGAAAATCTGTTGCAAACGATATTTGGCGAGGGAGCGCGTTTGCGCGCGCGCGCGACAGCGAGCTGGTCCCCTGGACACGCCCATTTTTGGCGAGCGCCGGCAGTCCCCTGGGGCGATCTTTCCTCCCATCCGCAATCATCATAAACATTCGCCAGTTTCAGTACTGATCTATACGAACATGGAGTACGACGACTTGTGGCTCAGCAACGTCGACGACGACTTGGGCGACGTCGACAGCGACGAGGAGCAGAACTTCGGCGAGAAAAGGTTCACATTCTGAAAGTTGGAGTTGATCTGAAGTGAATTTTTGAATAGAAATTTTGGTTTTTTCAAAGTTTTTTTTTCAAGTTTTTCAATTTTTCTTCTTTTTTTATGAGCGTATTTTAGTGTATTTTTAAAGAAAAAAGGTTCAGATTTTGAATTTGAACAGATTTTCAATGATTTTATGTATATTTCACTTTTTACTATCCTTGAATAGCGAGAAAAGGTTCAGTTTCTGAAAGTTGGAGTTGATCTCAAGTGATTTTTTGAATAAGAAGTTCTCAATTTTTCGAAATTTTATTCAAATTTTCACTTGTTTAAAAGCGTATTTCAGTGTATTTTCAACGAAAAGTGCTCAGATTTTGAACTCGAATAGATTTTCGATGACTTTTTTGAATGATTCACTAATTTCCAATGTTTCTTATTTGTAAAAGCGTCCTTCAGCCCAGTTTTTCGCGAGAAAAAAAGCTCAGAATTTGAATCAGAAAAGTTTCGAAATTATTATTTCACTATCTTTGAAAAGCGAGAGAAGGTTCAGTTTCTGGAAGTTGTAGTTATTTTGGAGTTCTTTATTTATTTTTTTCTATCATTTTTAAAAAGCGTTATCCATCCTCTTTTTTTTAGCGATAAAAGGCTCAGATTTTTCCGATTGAATATGATTTTTTTGAATAAAAAATTTTTATTTTATTATTTTCAGAAGTTTAGAAGTATTTTAAGAAGCGTATTTCAGTTTATTTTCACCGAGGAAAGGCTCAGATTTGGAGTTTGGTTAGCCTTCTTATGACTTTTTTTAAACAAGAAATTTTCAATTTTCTTAAATTTCCATTTTTTTCTCATTTCAAAAAAATCGTCATTCATCCTGTTTTTACCGAAAGTTTTTCCAGTTGAAAAATTTTTCTAATGATTTTTTTAAATGTAGGGAAAAAATTTAATTCTTTGTTTTCTTAAAGATTCGAAGTTATTTTTCTCTTTTTTTGCGAAATTTAATCTGGTAAGATTCAAATTTTTGATATAGGCTTACTGGTTAGTGAGAAAAGTTTCATTCAAATTCTATGAGATTTTCGGTTTTTTTTAGACTTTTAGCTTTTTATTGGTATTAGAAATCGAAATCATTTTTTTATACCTTTTTCACAAAAAAAAGTAAGATTTTTGGAGAGATTTGCCGGTGATTTTTGTCTGAAATAGTTAAAGCACTCAAGTTTCAAAAATTGTTACATAAATTGATCCTCCGAAGTACCCATATTCATTTTTCTCATGAGAAGCTGTTCGTTGAAAAAATTATTTGCTGATATTTTTGGAATTTCCTGAAAACATTCCCTTGCTTATTGAATTTTTTTGTTCAAATTAAAGTTTTCAGTCGAAAAAAGATTCACGTTTGAATTTTCACCTATATATGAAATTTTTTTTTGAAGTCAAATTATTTTGCTCTGTTATGTTAAGTGTTTAAAAAATTCCCTTTGTTGTGTTTTTGCAGTACTTTTACATTGGAACTCAGTTTTTAAATTATAATTAATTATATTCTACTGTTTTTCAAGCTTGTGACAAAGGGACATATCGAAAAAGAACCGTTTTTGTTCAGCTTTTTCTCATTTTATTGAAACGTATTCGTCGAGCTTTTCATCATATTTCTTTGAAATGAGATTATTTTTTTGTTATAAATTTTAAAATTAAAATAAAACAAAAAAATATTATTTTTTTCTAATTTTTGTACTCCGTCTTCCAACCAGTTTTCTATAATTTTTTTCTGAAATGACCAAAAATTTGGTTTTCTGAACTTTTTAAACCTATTTTCTATCATTTTTTTTAAAAGAAATCGCTCAGAATCCAATTTAGTCCAAAAAAATCCAGTGGTTCATTTTTTTTACTGTTTTTTGAACTCGTATAGCCAGTTTTCTAATCTTTTCTGTACAAATCCGCTCAGAAATCCAATTTTCTCAACCTTTTTTTCTCCGTACTTTAAAGTTCGTCCATTCTTCGTTTAGTGAGCAGCCAACATGTATAATATGCGATTTGTTTCCTCGAATGCTCGTTTCATTCCGGCGCTCAGCTGTTTCGCAACAAAATAACCCGCATTGGTATGCGCGTGTTTTACGCGAAATTGCCTCAAAACTGCATATTCGTTTCGAAACGAGACGGGATTTTCGCGCCGGATTACACGTCTTCTTCAATATGTTTCTGATGCGTTTGTCGCGTTTGGTCAACTGGAAAAGTGCGGACAGTACAAAAATATGAGGCAACTAAAAAAAAAGTAAATAGTGTATTCGATAGATTGGAAAAAAAAAAGAACTTTTTCCTTACTGGGAGAATTTTCAGTGGCCACTATAGGGTTTTGAAGTTTTAGTGGCCCTTACAGTAGTCAACCTAGTGGCCACTTAAGGGGTTGAAAATTAGTGGCTTCTATAGAGGTCTAAGTGCTACTACTGGACCACTAAAAATTTTAGTGGCCACTTTAGGGGTCGATGGATCAAAATAACTGGTCCAATCTGTTGTTTTAAAATTATCAGAGTTACTGGAAGGAATACTGAATGAAAAACTACTGAAGTGGTCACTAAATTGAGAACTTTGATAGTAACCGTTTTCCTACTTTCGCCTAGTATAGTTGGTCGCAAGTTTTGCGCGGGAGCTACGGCACATTAATCGGCTAATTGGTGACGTCTCAGCAAAACGTCAACAAAACAGCACTTGACCCGAAGGGCCGTTCGTTACGGATTCTGCGCCTTCTGCTTCGCGGATTCGCGCAACTGTTGTCCCAAGTGATCGAATCGAGAATCAAATGAGAAATGGCAAAATATTTAGGTTGATTTTCGAAGAAAACAGTTTGGAATATCTCTAGAGACCGTAATAAAGGTCCACCCCTTATCTTGATGGTGAAAAATTTTTTTTTGTTAAAGCGCAATACTCAACTAAAAAGGGAGAAAATTTGTGAAAACATGGAGCAAAGTTCAATGCGTTTCAGCGGAGTTTCGTACAAAAAACTTTTTTTTGAATAATTTTGAAAAAATGGCCTGTAGTCCCTAGATCCGACCATGGAAACGGAACTCCTAAATGAGACCATGTTTTCTAGATGTAGTTTTTACGCTGATTTCAAATCTGGTCTCAAAACTTGCCCAATACGTCTGTGTAAAAAGTTAGGGACTCTCAAAGGTCGGAAGTCCCACTGTGAGCTGAGACCATTTTCTGGAAAGGCTTTGAAAGGAAGAACCTAAAGCTTCTTCATGGGTTTTTAAAAAGTTGCCAAAAGTTTCTCGGAATCTTTTTTTCCACTTTTTTCCCGCCTTATTTTTACACCTCTTTGAAAGGTTCTTTTCAGAAAAAGGTTTAGAAAAAAAGGCGCTTTTGAGGTCGTTTTTCCAAAACTCCTTTTTGAGACCATTTGGACTTTGCCTGTGCTGTTGAGGACCCTCAAAAATTTTCAGTAGTTACAAGTTTAATACCTTAAAGTAAAAAATTTTGAGGGAGAACATCCTCGAAGGTTGAAGCCGCCGCTTGAAATCTACAGGGGTGGGCATAAATATTGCACGGCCTTTAAAATTCCGTTACTCTCAAGTGGAACGGATTTTGACAAGATTGTCTGAATTTTTTTATTGGCAAAGTATCCAAGTTAGCACATATAAATAAACCTTCGCTCCGACTTTCATTGGCCTCACTGAGCGCCTTGACTCTCTCGAAAAAAAAATATTCGACTCTTGGACACAGATCGATCTTGTCATCCATTCTTGAGGATGGAGGCCATCAGCAGGTCCCGGTTGAAATAGAGTTTTGTCCAGGCCTTCAACTTCAAATATAAATATGCAGAATTGTCAAGGGGTTCGAATCTGGTGAGTAGCCGGGCCATTCCTTGACCGTGTTGAAATAGGGCAGATTGGACTCGCACGAGTCTTGCTCAGCTCGGGGCTTGCAGCTTGACCTAAAATCTTGTGGGAAGAACCAGCGACGGTTCGCAAAGGGGAAAACAAAAAAAAAACAAATTGAAATTCCATTGGCAAAGAAGAAAGTTGGAATGATCGAAAAGTCCGTGCAATATTTATGCCCACCCCTGTACTTGTTACCATTCACTATCAAATTTTAAAGTTTATTTTGACTTGTTGATTCGAAACTGTTGAATCTACTCGGAAATTAGAATAACTCGAAGGCGTGTCCCATGTGTCCGGAGGACATCGATTGAGTCGTCGCAATTCTTATCTCCAATCTTCTCGCCCCCTCCGGACGTTACGCAAAACGTCCGTCTTGCCTATTACTCGGGCCCCCGTTCCGATCCCGTACGCCCATTACTCTGATTTTTCCATTTTTCCTTACTCTTCCAAAACTCAATTAAAGCACTAGTACTCGTTATCTCGATTCTTTGCAGGCATTCCCTTGCGCAAGATCAAATCCTTCTTTGCCTCACGTTTTAAACTCGATTTGTTAGCGAGAATGTGTGGGACGTTCCTTTTGCCTTCTTGAGCTGATTAAAAAGGTTTTTGAATTTGAAAAAGGATCTTGAACTAGATTCTAGTGGATATCAGAAGGTTTTTTGAGGTTTCGATGTTTTTATTTTTCTGAAATTAAGATCTCTAAAAAGGTTCTTTTGCTCTTTTACTCATTTTATAAATTTTGTGTCTTCAATATATTTTTGAAATTAGGATAAAGGAACATGATTAAGCAAAAAATTAATATTTTCCCTTTCTACTTTTCATGTAATTTAAGTTCGAAGTTAGCTTAGAAAAAGAATATCGCAGTAAAAGTCGAAAAAAAAACTACTTTTGGTGTTTTAAATTCCAGTTTGAAGGTTTTTGCTCTATCCTGTTTAGCCAGTAGTGGATAGAGTAACCTACAAATAAGCCGGAACAAAAAAGAAACCATTCAAAAAATGTTTTTTCCGAACTCCAGCAAGCCTTTAAAGTTGGACATATACTCGAGAAATCCGATTATTTTAGACAAAATTCGTTTTTTTCCAAAATCTTGAAATACGGTAACCGTCAGGAAACGATTGAGCTGTAATTTTATTATTTTTATCACTTTTTTTAGCTGTAGTGAATTTGCCAAAAAAATGAAGGCATCATTAAATTTTTGGTTCATAAACTTCACGGTAATCTGCAGGTTTGAAATTTTCACAGATAAAAAAATTGAGCTTTTTAGTGACTAATCATTTTATTTTTTTATATTAAACTTGTTAGAAACAAGACGTCATCATTTAATTTAAGTGCAAACACTCGACGGTCTTATGCAGACTTGAGCGTTTTCAGAGCAATCTGGCCTAAAATTATTTTGATGATCTTCCATTTTTTTTTTCAAAATCGTCAGAAAGGGAAGTGATAATCGAATTCAGTGCGAACACATCACGAAAATATGCAGACTTGAAATTTTTCAGATGAAGATCAAACTTATTTTCGAAAATCCTCCTTTTTTAAAGTTAAATCGCGAGAAATTGACATCATCATTGAATTCTTGTGCAGACACTTCACGGAAGTTTGCAGGCTTGACAGTTTTCAAAAAACGAGTGAATAATCTTCTTTTGTTTCTCTATTCAACTCGTCAGAAAAATGAAAAAATGCTAAAAGTAGGTGAAATGCTGGATATTTTTGCCATGCGGAAGCCCAAAAGGATCGGATCCGTAAGGCGAAGGTGTTTATGGCACGAAGCGGTGGGCCAAACACAACGCCCCAATTTCGGCGCGCATGATTAGACCAGGTAATGACGACTATTACCAGTGTGGGGGAGCTGGACCAGCTTCGCGGAGCCTCAGCTGGGCTCGCCGAGCATCTTTCTATGCAATGCATGTTCATTGTGGGCATTGTCCGCCTCAAAACCTCCAAAATGTCCATCTTCGCGTGCACCCATCCACACACACAAAACCCTCCGAAACATTCAACATTCTTGGCTCTCAAGTGTAATTCATTAATGTGTGCCCTCCCCCCTACCCTCCTCTTCCATAAGAAGGCTTGATTTTCTATGAATTGGGTTCTGGCCGCCTCGGCCCAAGATGAATTTCGTTTTTGCCCCGGAAAAAACGTAACGTATAGCTAGAGTCTTTTGTCGAGTTTGAAGCTTTTTTGATATTTGGTGGCTTTGAATGAGCTTTTCAGTTTGCTTTGAAAATGTAGAATTTGAAGTTTTTTGCTTTCTAGTACAGTGACAGGATCACATGGAATTTACAGTAGTTTTGAAATTCGATTTTTCGAAAAAGTTTTTAAAATTATTTCCTCCTTATCTTCTTCCTTAAACTTTCTACTTTTCTCTACATGTAGAAATGGATTTTTCTTGCTTTTTTGTACCATTGATTGACATAGTTCCATTAATATGTGGTCTTTCGTTGATTTTAAAGTTCTTTTGGCCATTTTTTTTTTCTCCCTTTTTTCTAATTTTAAGAAATTTCGACTTTTTTCCCTTCCGAAGCGTATAGAATATTAAAATTTTGATTATTTCTCGATTTTTTTTTCAATTTTTTTTAGCATTACAAACGTAATAAATTTATTGGCTTATCTCGAAAACCTTTGCCTAGTTTTTTCGATAGCTTATAAAATGTTTAGAACACATTTATTTGATGAAATATTTTACAGAAAATCTGAAATCGAAAAAAAAAGCTGCTGTTCCATAGAACTTCAGATACCTCTTATCCCTCTTTGAATATTTTATTTTCACTGATTTTTTCTGGAACCCTTTCTGAGATTTTTTTGGATATTTTATAAAGCACATGAAACATTTTAATCGTTTAATGATTGTAATTTGCAGCTGTAGTCGCTGTTATAACTCAGAACTTCGGATAATAACTTTACCAAAAAAATTTTTTCGAGTATTTTCTAGATTTCCCTACATGTTTTCCGTCCATTTAGTTCTCGTGTATAAGAAAGAAAATTCAAATTTTTTCGAGTATTTCTAGTTTTTTCCCACATGTATTCCGTCTATTTAGTTTCCGTGTATGAGGAATTTTTTTTCGGGAATCTTTAAGGATTTTTTCCGAGCTTTTTTGATGCCTTAAAAACCTATCAATGACAGCATTTTGCAGCCTAGATATACTGTAGTCGCTGTTGTAACTCAGAACTTCGGAAGGAAACTTTATTTAAAAAAAATTCTTCGAGTATTTTTCTAGATTTCCCTACATGTATTCCGTTCATTGAGTTCTCGTGAGTTAGAAATACAAGTTCTGATTTTTTTTTTGGGAACTTTTAAGGTTTTTTCCGAGCTTTTTTGATGCCTTAAAAACCTATCAATGACAGCATTTTGCAGCCTAGATATACTGTAGTCGCTGTTGTAACTCAGAACTTCGGAAGGAAACTTTATTAAAAATTTTTCTTGATTTCCCTACATGTACTCCGTTCATTTAGTTTTTTTCTGTGTGAGGAATAAAAAAATTCTAATTTTTTTGGGCTTTCATGAGAATTTTTAAGATTTTTTTTCGAGCTTTTTTGATACTTTGAAAACTTATCAATGACAGTAATTTGCAGCCTAGCTCTGCTGAAATCGCTTCTGTCGCCGTCGCAGTCGCTGACGGCCTTCGCCGAGGCGCAAAGACAAAAGTTTTTGTCCGGAAACGTTGGAGACGACGACATCCGCCAACAAAAGGTCCGTTGTTCTTCCTTTTCAATTTGTCTCCATTTTTTTCCGTCTCGTAGTTTCCTTGGCTCTCGTCGCTGCGATTCGTCACCATCTTTTTTTAGTTTCCTGTTGTTTTATTTTGTCTTCCTTATGTACATAAAAGCGTCTTTCCTATTGACTGTACGTTTTTTGAAGGTTTTTTGCTGTGTAGTTTCAGAAAAATCTGAAGTTTTGGTGAAACAATTGATTTGTATTTAAAAAATTTCGATTTCAAGTGGTTTATTTTAGGATTTGGTACCGGTTAACTGAAAATTTTAATAATCTTTTTTAAGCTAATTTTTTTTTCTTGGCAAAAAATGATATTTTTTCTACATATTCAGATATTCCAGAGTGGTCCCTATAGGGGTTGAGGGAATAGCCCTTCTGAGGTAAATTTTAAGTGATCCCTGTAGGGGTTTCTTAACTTTTTATTCAACTTTAAGGATCTAAAAGACTTTTACAAGGTATAGAGTCCATTATAGAGGCAGGGCAAGTGGTCCCTAGAGGAAACCCAGGTCTTCTAAGGTTGCTCCCTTAAAAAAACACTCTGGAGTTCTTAAGAATCCTCAGAAATTAAAAAAAAGTTTAGGAGAGTTCAAAACTTCATCAGAAAGCAACGCTTATCTCATGATTGAAGATGTAATTTTTTTCAACTTTTTTTTTCGCTTTTTTTCCGGATGCCAAAAAGATTGCAGTTTCTTCCACTCTATTTTAAGTGTTCCATAATGACTAGGCAATCAATTCATTATTTGATAGAACTGCAACGAAAAAAATTTTCTTTTTTCTACTGAAATTACTGAGAGAACCAGCAGATTTTTCTTTTTATATAATCGCTGTAACATTTTTCTGGTATTTTTTGAGGGTTTCTCAAGTTCTTGCTGAAAATTATAGTCATAGACAGTTTTTGATGAAGGTCTCGAGACGAAGAGCCGTTCTCAAGGTAATAAAAAGACTTTTTGCGCCTTTAAAAGTCTTAGAAAGAGCTGTTATAAAATTATAATTATAGATTATCACAAAAAGCCTTTCGACAGTCGGTCAATTTATATTTTGAAACTACGAAAAAGTCGAGAAAAAAACGACCTTCACTGATATTTTTTGGATAATTCCGGATTTCTGCGCTTTCAGTTCGCTTGAAAATTATTCATGAAAAAGCTTAAATTTTTAAAGTTGAAAAAAAGACGATTTTAATCAAAAACTTTATACTCATCTTTCAAAAAAAGCCGACAAAAATTAAGTTAAAAAGAAGACTTTCGAGTGTTATAGGTGATTTATTTCATTTTATTTATAATTTTTTTGTTTTTATTTTTAGGTGATCCAAGTCATCTGAACCTTCAGTTAAACTAAAATTTAAATTTTAGAGCTCAAATTATGAATTCTAACAAAAAAAAATCCGCTCTCAATAAAACTCGTTTACTTAGTTTTTGAAAAAAACCACGGAAAAATCAAGAAAATTAAAAAGTTCCAGTGTAATTTTAGGTGATTCAAGAAAGTCATCTGTACCCTTATTCGACCCAAAATTTTCATTTTTGAATTTGAATTGGGAATTCTAACAAAAAACTGCTCTTACCAGTTGGTTAATAAAACTCGTATACTTATCTTTCAAAAACCACGGAAAAGTCGAGAGAGACGAGAGAGAGTCGATTGTTTTTGTTTTGTTTTTCCCACGGCGATTCCGGATTTTTTTCGTCGTGTGTGGTGGGCACTTCACCCATTGCGGCGGCGGCGCTTCTTCTTTTTTTCTCCGAGAAAAAATAAGAATTTTTCTCGCGGGTTTTTGAGCCCACACTTCACTTCACTTCACTTCACACGGACACAGACGCGTGCACACAATTGACGAGGAAGAGGGCAGCCGAAAAAAAAATTTGCATTTCCACGATGCTTCGGCCCTTTTTGCCACTTGTTCAAATCACAAACCGAGGACGACGTCGTGTTTATTTTGCACCCCCGATTCCCATTGTCTCCCCCCCTTTTTGGTAGTTTTAATCCATCTACGATTTTTTTTTTCAGCTTCAATTAGAGAAGATGCTTGGAAAGGGTTTTTTTCGGAAACAATTTTGAAAAAGCGCCAAAATTTTGTTGGCCCTTTTAGGGCAATTTTTTGCTTTTATCACGGTTTTGAGCTTGGAAAAAAAATCAGTTTGTAAGAAATAGCCGCGTTCTCCATTTTTCGGGCTTTTTATGGCATTTTTGACCTCTCTACAGTTTCAAGCTAACATGAGCAATTCGCTAGAAGAATTAGAGATATTTTTTTTTTTTGGCTTCTGCAATGTTTCGACTTCATGTGAATGAACTCAAGTATCATCTTTCTGAAAAATCGCAGGAAAAAAATTCGAAAAAAGTATATGTATATTTAATATTACTATTATTTTTTTATGAGCTCTTAGTTTTTGAAAAAAAGCAATCCTAAAAAAATTATAAGCTGTTCAGCCTATTTTTTTCACCTTTCTAGCTTGAGTAGTGAATGAAATATACCATTTTTTTGACCTTGGGCCCTCTAAAAACGAACAAGGAAAAAATTCCCCAGTTTTCGAAAAATGAGGGCTCAAAGCCCCAAAATGGCCGGTTTTAAAGGAAATTGGGGTGTTTCGTTATCTTTAAGGTGTCCTTTCTCGAAAACTAGAAAGTTTTGCCGATTGAGACTTTCATATATGCATCTAGGTACATCAAGGAGTGTTCTGGCCGACTTTCAAGGAATTCTGAACCAGAAACTCAGGCGAGTCCTAGGAAGGTTTTGGGAAGGTAACCAGCAGGAGGATGGAATGTGTATGGAAGCTAGAAGATCTTGGGAAATCCTTTGGAAGGTGTTCGGAAGGTAGATAGAAGGTATTTGGAAGGTGAATGTTGGAATACCACGTCTCTCTAATAAATGCTCTTATCTCTACGTGAGATGGGTATATAAGGCGGCCTCTTTGTCACTTCTTCATTCTACCAATAAACCTGCTACTTCAACTTCGACTTTGGGCTACCGCGGACACAACAGTGGATCTCATCCTGATCGCCAGTGTATCGCCAGTGTCAGGATGAGATCCACTGTTGTGTCCGCGGTAGCCCAAAGTCGAAGTTGAAGTAGCAGGTTTATTGGTAGAATGAAGAAGTGACAAAGAGGTAAAAGGGCCGTGTATTTTCATCACATCCGTGTATTTTCTTCATTCCGTGTATTTTCTTCACTCGAAGTGGTAGCTCTCTCAGTCGGCCGAGGCTACCCTAGAGTGTACACGGGGTCCGTGCCCGAGCCCCACCATCACCGCCGTGCCCGTACCCGAAACTGAGGGATCTACATGTGAAAGAGCGAAGAGAAGGACCGTAAGACCATGCTTTCAATTCAATCGACTTTTGACTTCTTTTTCGCCAAAGGCGGTGCCGCTCAAAAGAGCAATTTTTTCACCGCCTAGTCGATTCTATCTGACTAAAACAACCAATGAATATTGATTGATGATTGAACATGGTTAATGCCTGTCAGAAGCCTTCCAGAAACTTGCTGAAAGGTTTCTGGAAGGCTTCCGGCAGGCTTTTTCTGAGTAGAAGATATTAGGATGCTATATTGAAGGCCACCTGCTCTGGAAAGCTTCCGGAAGCCTTCCGAAGACCGATAGCAGATCTTCCCAACTTTTAACTGAGAAGTGAAATGACCTTCCTTGTTAGGAATCACTATGATAAAACTGCTAACTCCTGATTTGATTATCAGAAATGGTCAATGTTGTGTGTCCGTCGCTTGTTCGACTTTCTGCGGACGTCGTGTTTATTTTGCGCGATTGTCCCCGTCGTCCAGTGCTCAACTGCGTGATCGCCTCTTCCCGCCTAGTGTTGCCAATTTGTTTCCCCGACTTTTCGATTTTTATTGTTTTCTTTTTGGCTCTTTTTAAAATCACGTATTTTTTGAAAAAGCTTGAGCTTTTCGTAATTTACCTTTTTTGAGATAGTAGGACTCATTTTTTTTGTTGTTTTTTTGGCTCCGTCGGAGATGCCATTTGAAGTAGTTATTGACATTTTAAATCACCTTTTTCTCTCCGTCTTGTAAACTTTTTTTAAAAAAACCGAATAGTTGGACAAATAATTTCCGCCAAAAAAAAGTAGATTAACCTCAAAAAGGGCGACAGCCAAGTCCCCCGTTACCCCCCTCCCCCCTTCTCACCTTAAGCCATTCCCCCTTACCTCCACGCTTGAAGGGTACATTTTTTAATTCATTCGATTTTTCTTATAAGGTCGGACCAGCACCGGCCAGCAAGCATCCTGAAATTTTTTTGCGGTTTGCGCCAACCCCCCGCCCTTTTTCTTGTGTTTTTTTGCCAAGTCCCTCCCTTTTTTTCAAGCTCAACCGAGACTGTCCCATGTACCCATTGTTTATTTCATATCTATATCATAATTCATGATTATATTAGCACCTTTTCGAGAAAATGTTTTTTCATGATTTTTTTTCAATCATATTCAATAGCTCGTTTGAATATTTCAAATTTTGAATTTTATCAATTTCGAAGGAATTTCGCGCTTTTAAAGATCTAACCTAACAGTTGGACCACCCATCTCCTCTCAAATTAAGTGGATAAGCCCCAAAAAAAGGGCGAGAAAATCTGGAAGATTAGCCGAAAAACGGCGATGGCCACCTTCCGGCTGTTCAATTATGGTGATGGGATTATGGGGGCGGAGTCGTATACCGCTTAGCCGGGATTTGGTCCCGCCCGGTAATCTGATTATGAGCTGGATCTCCTTCAGCTGGCGCCAGTGGTTCCAGAACCTTTTTGGGTAATTTATCTGGAGTTTTAAGCTTGCTTCTGTCATCTATTCTGATTTCTGTCAAATAGCCGTTTTGGCTTAGTTTCAGCCGGAATAGTTACGTTTTCTTGGTTCTATTTATAGGAGTGCCAGGCCGTATTAGTAATAGAATTGTTTTTCGCAAATATTCTTTGTTTGACCTTGTAAAATTAGTTTTTCCATTATTAAATCATGTAAAAAGTCTGTTTACATCAGTTGTTAAGGTAATGGAAGATTCCATTAGTTTTCTTTGTTTCAAAGTTTTTTAAACAGTCATGATTTCTGTTGTTTTTAGGTAGTGAAATCTTTTTTTTTTCATCAAAAAATTTTCTGTTGGGCTGAACTCTCACGAAACCAGCTTTTACCGATTTTACCGGCCTCTCTGAAGGAAGTCTAGAAGATTCTAAGTCCAATACAAGTTTTTGTAGCAGTTTTAAAAAATTAAGAATATTAATGGCCCTAAAAAGAACTTTTTTTATATCAGAATTTCGAAAATTTTTTTCAACTGAAAGGCAGTAATTTCTTTTGTAGACGGCTTTTTTTAGGTTAGTAAAATCTTTTTTTCCGTTCAAAAAAGTTTCTGTTAGCCTAAACCCTCTGATTCAGTTTTAGTCCTCAAGATTCTGACTTTTATTCATCTTTCAATGTTTCCGGTTGAAAACGACTCTTTTTTAAGGATCTTAAAATTTTTTCTGTTAAGCTGGACCCTCACAAACTCAGCATCAACTGACCTTTCTGAAAAAAATCTTCAAAATCCTCGAGCCAATTCTCGACGACTTAAAAAAATATTACTGAACCTTAAAGGAACCGTTTTATCAGAACTAGAAGTTAAAGTTGCAACGAAGAAACTTTGTCAATTAATCAATCCCCCCGCCCCAATCAATCAATCAACCACATTTCCCTCAAACTAAATGTCCTTTCCGGTCCAGTTTTGGCGCACAAAACGGTGCGCAGGTGCTCCCCCCGTTGGCGTTTTCGGACGTCCGTCGACCGGAAAAAGCCGATTGTTGGGCCCCGGGTCGGTGGGTCAGCACGTGTTGTGTTCTTCTTTTGATCTACCTCCATCTGGTGTTCTTCCTTTCATGCTTTTTCCACCGATTCTCACGCTTCCCTGAGTTCTCGATTTGTCCTCCCTTGCTGTTATTGGAATGTGGAGTTTCTACATTTCTCTCTTTTTTATGGTCTGGAAAAACTATTAGGTCATAATATAAGTTGGAAATCGTAATTTTAGGTAATAATAATTGATAATTATTGTAGATTGAAAAATTTCAATTTTTTTGAATTTTTGATATATCCTCCCATTGATTATTGTTACTGAATTGAGGTTTTTCACTTTTTTTTTTGCTCTAAAACAATGTTTTTAGACGTTTCTGACCCTCGAAACCGTCGGAAAGGTTTATTCAACCTATCATGCAGGTCCTATGACTTCATACTTCCAATTTTCGACTAGAATCTAATTGTAGCTTGGAAAATTACCATTAAAAAAAAAAAAATAAAGAACAAGTTTCAAATCTTTGTTTGGATCAATTTCAGACGGATCTTTGTCTTTTTCAAATTTCAGGAAAACAACTTTTTTGGTTTCTTCGATTTCTAAGTTTCATAAGAAATGCTTTTTAACTGTGTTTTTTTAACTTTAATTGTAAATTGTTTGTAGCGAAGCATCTCAGAAAATTGGTTGGAGACTGCGAAATCAATAAATTTTTCCAAGGAAGTTTACTTTTTGGAAAAAAAGGAACTTTGAAAAATCGAAGTGTGATTTTTAAAGTTTTTTTCAACATTTTTCATTTTTTTAATAGATTGTTTTTTTCATACTTAGGTTCTCAACTGAGAAATTTTTTCTATTTTCGAATATTTTTTTGAAAAAAATTTCGATTCTCCAGCTCTCAAACTCTACAAAAGCTGTACCAATAATTCTGAAAGCCGTAATTTTTTAAAAATTCATCCGCTTTTTCCAATCCGATCGCCATTAACCATCCCAACTTTTTGCTCATCTCAAACCTTCTTCAAGGCCATTTTATCTCATCTACGAACGCCTCGACCGTTTTTTTTTCTCTGACGCTTTGATAAATTACAATAGCAGCCGGATATCCAGTTTTCCGCTATTTTTGTGAATTTATTGTCTCAGCGGGTGATATCGTGGTTAAGTATGTTCATAATTTTTTTTTTTCTGGGGTGTTTTTAAAGCCCGAGGTTTTGTTTATTTTACCTTAAGTAACACACAAATTTTTCTTGGCTTAGAGAATTTTGATGCGATTCGTCTTTTTTTTTTTACAGGTTTTTTTTTCACTTTAATTAGACAAAAATGTATTTTTCTATAGTATTTATGCTTGCTCCGATTCCAGGAAATTTTCTGAACGTATTTCAGAAATCTTTAATCATTTCTAGACCCTGAAAGCCCTGAAAATTGCTTATTTTGGTGGCTGAAAACGCGTTCATTTGGCCATTAATCATCAATTAAGATGTAACTCGCGAGATATGCGATCTTCCTTCATATCTGATTATTAGAAAAAGAAGAGATAAAATCGGGTTATTGGGTATTTGGGCGAGAAATGAAGGAAATGATGGAGTTTTCGAGGATTTCGGAAGTTTTTAATTTTTTCTATTCATAGGCAAAGTCGGAAAGGTTGGAAAATGGCTCTATAGAAATTTACCTTTTATGCTGCCTTTTTGCACCATTTTCTCAGCCCATATGCACCATTTTTGCTGCCTCTCCCTTTTTCCACCATTTTTTGAGCTTTTGAAATTTCAGAAAAAGACAAGGCTTGATAAAGGGACTTTCTTTGCTCCCTTTCTGCGGCCTTTTTTGAGCCTCTCCCTTTTAGCGGTCATTATCCACCATTCCGATTTTGCCCGGGTTGTTCCGATTCTCAAAAACCTGTTTCATGCAAGTTAAAGCTCTTTGAAAAGCGAGAAATTCAATCAGTTACTTTTTTTGAACTCATTTGAGGCAAATTTCACTTTCTTCTCAAAAAAATGGCAAAAAAAATTTTCATCATAAAGGAATCGAACCTGCATCTTAGGTTCCATAGTGCAAGGCTGCTAGCCACTACACCACGCTGTCTGCTGGCAGGTTAGGTTAACCGCCGCAACACAATCCCTCCTTTTATGTAATGCAAACTTTGAAGCGCCATAACTCAACTAGAACCAAAAGAGCGTCCTTTTTCTCAATTTCTTTGGTTTCAGGGTGTTCGAAAGTACCTATATACCAAGTCTCATCAACTTTTAATACTTTTCGCACTTCCCGTGTCAGTTTCAAACATGAAAAAGCTTCTAATCAGCCGGTTTTGATGGTTTCAAAGCAATTTTACACATCCAAAACCTTTTTTTTGCAAAAACCCAAAAACTTGATGCTATTAAAGTTAGGTAGACGTTAAATACGGCCTTTGCTTGTGCAAATGGTTCGAATACATACGGAAAAAAGAAAATGCCAACCAGTTGGCATGCAGATGTTTGCCTAACAACGCGCGCGCGCTCCGTTTTTGGTTCCCACGCTTCGAAAAAAAAAAAATAGTTTTTTGGTGAAGCCGCGGACGGTCCGTTGCAGTCGTGACTCAGGCTCGCCGGTGTTTGTTTTTGGTCGCGGGTGGCTCGAGACAAATTTTTGGGGCGGAATTGCACTCGCACGACGTCCGCCAACTCTTCGGCTCTTCATCTGGACCCCTTTGCATAAACGATTAGAGTTTTCTGAACGGAATCGTGTCCGTTTTGTTTTACGTTCTCTAAGAGATTTGTCACCCTGAAACGAACATTTCTATGGAGCCTGAAAAAAGAGAACTTCTCTTGATTTGCTGCTGAATTTTTGAGCTTTTCCCAGGTTTTCCGAATTTTTTTCATAAAAAGGAAGGTTATTTCATTTAACGGTTG